CTTTTTTTTTTGTCTCTCTCCCGACGACTTTCGTCCTCGGCTCCTCCCACGTCTGCTGCCGCACACTCCAAAACCAGAGCCACCGTCCGTATGCCGCAGCGTTAATCTCCATCGCAGATTCGGCCGAGGACTTCTCCATTGCTAAAAATCGCAGAGACGGCCGAGCCCACGACGCCGTCGCCTCATTCTCCGGCGAACCGAGGCTCCTGTCGTCGCCGCCGACTCAGCACTTTAAACCCCACCGCAGTTCTGCCAAATCGTCGTCGCCGCCGCCGCGATCACAACATCCAATTCTGTCAATTTCAGTCGATTACCGCCAGTTTCACTAACCCCTCTGATTTCTTCGTCCTCTATCATTTGTTGCTACTCCGGACAAGGCCGAATTATTTGTTGTTTATATCTTTTAATGTGATGTCAGAATTGGGATATTATATGTCCGGCGAGTGTGAACCTGAACGGACCCAGGTCGCCGGTGAAAATCCGTCGGAGTATGTCCGGCAATACCACCTTGAACGTGACATCCCAGCTGGTGCTCGCGGCGTTGGCCGCCTTTCTCTTGGTGGTGCGGCAGTGAGTCCCTGGATTTACAGATTTGGGGTGGGGGACTTATTTGTGAAAATTAAATAAGTCACAAGGATTTGTTTGAAATTCCAGAAAATTTAACTATATTACATTTTGGGCCTTGTGCCAAATCTTTAGTTTTTTTATAAATTTAATAAATGTACCTAAATAATTGAACAGATATATGATATTCGGTTTCAATAAACACAAATGCAAAAAACGCACAAAAATGAATATTGATAATTATAATTTTGTACATAAAAATTTGATAAAAAAAAATTAGCATTGCTAAATATAATTTTATAACATGAAAAAATTGATAAATGCAATATAACGTTAAAATACTCATTATTATTATTTTCCTTTTTTGTAGAATAAAAATGCAAGTATAAAATATTCGATCAACAATTTGCACAATAATGGTAAACAAAAGGCACATTATTGTATGTGGAAATGTATATTATTAATTTTAATATTTTATATATTATTTTTTCCAACAAAAATATTACAAAATGTAAAATATTAAATAGATGTGATGGGTTGGCGACCTGATAATTTCAAGACTCTATACATAAATGCATAAATGGAATATTATTTATTGCATAACCAAATATGTAATTTATAGCAATACTTACATAAATGCATTTTAATGATGAATAAAGTTTACAACGTTTAAAAATTTAATATGTAAAATTTTGATATATAAAAATATTATAATAACAAATTTACCTGTATAATAATAAATAATAAGCTATTTTAATTATTTAGATTAATTCGATATATAATTATATCTACTAGATATAGTTTTCAGAAAACACATAATTTATATGTGATCGTATAAAGTAGTTCATTTTATATGTCAACACTTTATATAGCAGCACGTTGCACTTTATAACACAACATGTTACACCTTATAACATAACATGTTGCACTTTATAACACAACAGGTTGCACTTTATAACACAATACGTTGCACTTTATCAACACAATCAACGATTAACGTCAACAGTTTTCGAGAAAATACCACAACATAAACATAAAAAACGGATATACATAATACTTTATGTAATTTAATTTATTAATTTATGGGCAACATTTTGTGAATTAGATAAGCTTGGAGGACTTTGATGCAATTTAAGAAAGTTTAATATATTTCAATTAAGTCCATAAGCCAAATGTGTAATTTACAAAAAGTATATAAAAATGTTATTTTTATATATTTTTCAATGCATATATTATTATGTATTTTTCAACCAAAAAATACATAACAATATATTAAAAATATTTTGTGAATACACAAAATTTATATGGGAAGGTCTAAATTAGTGCACTTCAGATAGTAGAATGTTGCACTTTATAAAACAACATGTCGCACCTTATAAAATAACACGTTGCACTTTATCACCACAATTCACAATTAATGTTAACGGTTGCCACCAAAATATTGCTCAATATAAATTTATAAAACAAATCTACATTATATTTTAATATCCATCACATCAAAAAATACAGGCATACTAACGTATCGAAATTTTATTATTCCACCGTAAATATGAATATGACACTTTATACGACAATACATTGCACTTTATAACACATCATGTTGCACCTTAAAACGACACGCTACATCTATCACAATTGCAGTGATTAAGCTAATCGATCGAATAATATTAGTTTGATAAATGTCGAATTAGTTTTTTCAAATAAACAAAATAACCAAACATTAATAACACTAAATAAAGGTCGGATTTAATTTAATGTGGGACAACATTTTGTTCGAATCGATATGCGTAACACCGGTCAGCACAGTGCACCGTTATGTTAGAGGATTCGCACATTAATAACTGCTAGATTGCACGTTATATTTTGCTTATATAAAATAATATGCTTTTTAATAAGAAAATAATATAAACTATTAAACCAACACTATCACAACACTAAATACATTTTTATAATACAAGTAATATTTATTTATATTTTCCCACTTTCGATATCATTTTAGTCGGTTAAATCAAACCGACTGATAATCCGACCAATTAATAACTATTTAATTTTGAAAACATGTAACTGTTTTTATAATATGTGTGTAAATTCACAAAATTGTGCATACAATGTATTTTTAATGTACAATATATTAAACTTTTG